AATTAGAACATTTTTATTTTCCAGCCTGCACAGTATCTCAACATGCTTGAGGGTGTACCATGTGAGGCCTATTATTCTCCAAAGACAAGAGTTTAATGTTTAGTGCCACTGATCAGACTGGGAACAGCAAATCTGGAAAGCAGTGGGTGTATTTTACAGTCTGAATGCACAGGGAAGGGGAGGGAAAGAAGAAAGGAAATAAAATAAAAAGTTGGGTTTGTTTTTTTTTTTTTAAAGGAATCTGCCTTAAATGACTAGATATTCCAGATTGCTGGCTAATGGCTAGCAACATGTGGCTTCTCTGAGTAATATCATTGCCCTGTCCTTCCTTTGCCAGCATATGCTACTGGTGGCAAGAGAGATAAAAATATACAGAGTGGATATGCAATTACCAAACCCACGATATTTTATGACAAATGCCATTTCTCTAACACTGCTATTACAGTGTGCTGATTTCCAAAGCTGAATTAATTTGAGCAAGTGTACAGTGGAGATTGATGCTATTAGCATGATTTTTAAAGCACCCTTTAATAATCATAATCTGCATGTTTGAAACGTGTTGCCATTACCAGTGTTGACAGATACGAGCGTAAGGCACACACCGTGGAGGCTAAAACGAGGCTATTCTCATTTCAAATAAGAGTGTACAGATTCCTACGTCTGTAAAAAAAACCAAAATCCATTACTGTGAAAAGGGAGTAGCACATTTTTCTAGGGGGGTGGCAATAAAGCAGTGCTGATATAAGACACCACGCCTGGGCCAGCCTATGCTACCTTTAGGCACTGGGGTAGGACCCCTGCAAGTGAAGAGCTCCTATAAAATGAACCAGGCTTTCGAGGGATGCTGTCAGCATCTATCCCAAAATGAAAAGAGAACAAAAGCACTGATTCCCTTAACTTTCTGGAAGAATCTCTTCTGCAATTATAAATGACACACATTTATGGAGTGACTTCTTTTTTTTCCTTTACCCCAATTAGTCTCAAAATGCAAAATACTTCTAGGGAAATAATTACAGGAAACTAGCTCTCTCCTCTCCTCTCTATGAGCAACGCTTACTCATGTAAATTACTTGCATGAGTAAGGATTATTTGCAAGGCGAAAAGCATTGCATCAGATCCCCAGTTTGGGAGAAGAGATGAAATCAACATGAGTTCGTAGTAAACTTTGCTGCTGATGAATGAACCAAAGGCAGATCCCCACTGACAGTCCAGCCTCAATGGAAGCAGCATTCACCACGATGCAGAGCAGTGCACAGAATGTCATACCATGCAAAATGAATCAAGGTTTTTTAGGAATTGTATGCATCACATCAAATACCATCCCTGGACTTAATGATATAAACTTTGAAATGTATTTTTAAGCCTAGTCTAACTAATGTCAACACCTTTAAAAACATGAAAGCACAAGGCACTAACAAGCATTTTGCTCTACAACTGCTTTTGCAAAGGTCAGTCATTCCACAACCCCACACCACCCCTTGGAGCACAGAACAGTAAATGAGCTGGAGGAAGGTTTGCCAAGACCTTGTGAGCTGGAGGGTGAGCCCACCTTGTGCCCCCTGAACACCACAGGAGGTGTGGGGCAGGGGCACGAGGGGCCTGGGCAGGCACTTTCTGACAGCACACAGCTTCTCACACTTGGGTGCCAGCAAAGCTGGGGGCCTCCTTTACACATGCACCCCATCAAACTGTTTCAAACACAATGGGGTGCCCTTAAAGGTGCTCCCTCTGGATTTTCATAGGCCTCCAAGCATCCTGTTCTGACCCCTGTGTGAGGCACCTGCTGTCAAGGAGAACTTCCCTGCCCATGCGGAAGGTGACATGGGACCCCACCAGACCAGAATCAATGAGAAAATCAAGGCAAAGTGGTGACTTCCTCCACCAAAAGAGACTGTTTTGGTAACGGCCCTGTATGGATGGAGGAGAATCACTTCTTCCCTGCTGGAGGGAAAAGAGAGAAGGCTGCTCTTGCTCTCTGGCCAGTGTTGCACCTGCTGCAGTGTCTGGGCTTGATGGTGAGGTGGGAAGCAGCATGCCCAGGCCCCCGTGTTTTGAAAGCAGCAACAAAGTTTTCAGTGAAGTAGCACAAACTCTTCTAGTTCACCTAGCAGTGGCCTCACAGGCCCTGTCGCTCTTAAAAACGTCTCTACCCCTGGTCTGAGCATAATGCCAGAGCTGCTCCCAGCCTCTCCATGCATGTCTCCTTGGGATGCAATAAGCATCAGGGTCAGAAGCACCCATACCTGCTGCATGCAAGCAACCCCATCCCATGTTCACCATCCACTGAGAGTCCCTGGGAAATAATCTCTATCAGCTCCTGGCATCCAAAGGGAGTTTCTCCACTGTGGTGACGGGGATGCTGAGCCTCAGGTGGAAAGAAGGGTGCTGAAGCGGAAGCACACCTGGGCTTGAACCTTCCCTGGATCTGGGCAGTGCATGGAAACATCCAGTTTCAGCAGCAGTCAGGGTTATATTTAAATCTGGATGATGAATTCAGCTAGCTATAAAAAGACTTATATTTACACTTATTACTGATTAGCTCAAACATTTGGCAATCAGATAAAATACGCCATCAGAAATTTGTGAGTAACAGAAGCATTACATCCCTCCTTGCAGCCACTAGCTGAATATTGTCATAGTGTCAGTGCTGCTATTACGGAAAACAGGCAGCCAGCTGCTTCTATTAATCACGCCGCTGGCGCAGGTAGCTGCTGGAGACCGTGCCTAAATCTCTGGTGGGCTCGATCACAAGCCTGCAATTCAGCCACTTGCTCCCCTCCCCAACCATTTCAGTGACAGCGAGCGCCCCGTCACCCTTTGCTTTGGACACCGCAGGTTCGCAATACACGCTTAACCACGGGCTCACTCCATCCCTACTCCCTGAATACACAATGAGGTATTTTATCCCATCAGCAATCCCACACCACAAATAAGGTCCCCTCTGATGCGGCTATAAGCCGCATCTGACTCGAGAGCCACATCTCCTCCTGCAGAAGGGGTCCAGGCCAGAGTTAGGAAGCCCCATGACCCCAGAGGTGGCCCTGCTGCCCGTCTGGGGACCAAGGTGAGTGTCATTTACCGAAGGGACTGGGACCTTGGGGTGCCAAGGGGAAACAGCTGCCCCTGCCCCACAATGAGAGCAGTTACTCCCAGCCAGCCAGCACCCAGCTTTTTGTCTCTCTGCTGCCTGCACATCCCCAAGCACTACTCGGATTGTTCCAAACTATTAAAAATCGATCATAAAAAATCATTCCTATGTCTATAAACAAGTTAATGGAGTAAGTGAAAACAAAGTACATTTCTTAATGGGAGTGTTATGTTGCCCTCTCTAGGCCCTGGCTCTCAGTGCCGGTTTCTGTAGGCTCCCTGCCAGAGAAGTATCACTCAGAGCTGTTGCTGTTGCTGCTGCTGCTACTCTGCTAATGAATGACTAACTTAGGCCAGAGGGGAAATGACATCACCGGGGTGTAAAACACAACTGCATTAGGAAACTTTTTACCTGCTTTACATTTGTCATAATTATTCTACACAATACGGCCGGCATTTGCATAATTTCAAGGCGTGCCATTATCTTAATTGAAAATTGTTTTCATATGGTTGAATAATGCAGAATGACATCAGTTAAAGCCGCAATGAAATGCACAAGTATAATCACACGGCTAATTACTAGCGGTGTTTGCATGTAAAAATAAATAAAATCGTGCGTATTATTAGGAAGGTACATGCAGCTGAGAACTCTCGTACCGGAGCAGTGTTTTACTCGTAATGGTAGGATTAATTTTCTCTGATGTTCCTACCACAGTAACATGAGCTGATCATTAAGGCGTATTAAAATGATTTGTGTCCCTTTCCCCACCCCCCCTCCCTTCCAAATATCTTTCATTTTACACACACACGAGACACGCAGAGGCACAGTTTTAAATAGTCACCACGGGCAATTTCAGAGCATCCATTGCTCACTGTCATCTCCCTGATTCTTAGGAAAAGGCTCCCTTATCTCAGCGGCACGCACAGAAAATTAAAGTGAAGAGGTGGCAGCGAGCGAAGGTGGCTCCGAGACGCGTTTCGGCTGCGTACGCGTGTGTGCGGGTACACAGCTACGCTGGCACCTACAGCCACGCGTGCCTCCGATAACAGCCCCTGCGGACAGCCCCCCCCATGGACCCACCCCCCCGGCATCTCCAACAGAAGTTCCCCCAAAACATCTCGTCCCCCTCCCGCCTGGTCTCCAGCCCCTCTCGGGGACCCTCGCCATCCTCGCAGCCCCCTGCCTGGGTACCTCACCCGTCCCCCGCCCCAGACTGAAGCAATGAATTTGAAAAGCAGATAACGGGAGGGCTCGGGGCTGGGGCGGGGCGGTGCGGGGCTGCGCGGCCCCATCCCGGGCTGCGCGGCCGCCGGCGGAGGGTGCCGGCGCGCAGCGCGTTTGCGCCGGGAGCGCGGCGGCTCCGAAATACGCCCAGGCATATCTGCAAGTTATTTGAATGTATTATTCCCGTACCTGTCATTTATCACTTTATTCAACACGTCCCTGCCAGCAAGAGAGCTTTTGATCTCCCTCTGCCTCCATTTCGTAATTTCCGCCCTCTTAAACATATCGAATACTTAAAAAAAGCCCCGAACAATATCGAAATCCCCCCAACGTGTTTTTTTTTTTCCTCCGCTTTTCCGTGTATTTTGCTTTCGGGGTTTTTTTTTGTTTTGTTGGGGTTTTTTTTGTTGTTAAGCAGAAGGATAGGGCGAGCCCCGCACACACTCCGCTGCCCGCCGGGCCGGGGCCGCCCCGCACCCCGACCCCCTCCCTCCTTCCCCCCGCCCGCACAAGTTCCCGGTCAGCGCGCACCGGTGCGCCCCGACGGCGCGGCCCCTCCGCGCTGCCCCGCCACGCACGGCGGGGAGGGGGACGCGGTGGGGGGGAGCCAGGAGAGGGGGGAGCCGAGCCCGGGCATGCAGGTGGGGACGGGCGCGGGGGAAGGGGGAGCCGGCGCCGCGTTTACCACCTCGCCATGGTCACTGGTCCTGCCCTGGGGGGTGTCCTCGGGGAGAAAATAAAGTTTGGCGCTGGAGAGAAGTTGCCGGCTGGTGCGCTCCTCCCAGAGCAGCTGCAGCTCCGCGATGCAGGCGGGCTCCTCCGCGCGGCACCGCACGAAGAAGAAGTCGCCGAGGGAGAGGACCCGCGCCCGGCCGCCGCCGCGGCGCTGGAAGCGGAACGCCCTGTAGAAGACGTAGGGGCCGTGCGAGCCGCACGGGGCGCCGACCCACTGCGGGGAACAACAACACGGCAGCGGCATCAGCGCCGGCTCCGCGCCGCGCCGCGCCGCGCAGGGGCAGGAGGAGGAAGAGGGCGGCGGGAGGGGAGCGCGGGAGGGAGGGAGGGGGCTCCGCGGCAGCGGGGGGCGCGGGGCGGGGCGGGGGCGCGGGGCGGCGCGGTACCTGCAGTGCGCTGCGCTCCATCGCGGCTCCGGCGCGATTGAACTCAACATTCTCCCAAACTTGTTGGCGTGAATGGAGCCCGGCAGGTCCTGGCAGGGCGAAGCCGGCCCCGCCGCCCGCCGCCCCCCGCCGCCGCCGCCCCCGCGCCGCCCCGCCGCCGCCGCCGCCTCCCGCCCCGCCGCGCGCGGCGACGCCCCCCCCTGCCGCCCGCCCCCCGCTCCGCCGCCCCGCCGCCGCCCCGCCGCGTCCCGCCGCCGGCGCCACCCGACGCCGGCCGGGCCCCCGACGCCCGCCCGGGCCGGGCAAAAATGCCGCGGGGCGGCTGCGGGCCTCGGGGGGGTGGCGCAGAGGCGGCGGGGCGGCGGCGGGGCCCCTGTCCGCGCTCGGCGATTTTTGGGGGGCCGAAAGGGCGGGCGGGCGCGCTGCGGATCTGACAGGACCTGCCCGTATATGTCTAATATAAAGACCATTTCCTGCGGCGCGAGGGGCGCTGCTCGTCCGCGCGCGCCCGGCGGGACCGCCCGCTCCCACCGCCCGATCCCGCTCCCACCCCCGGCAGCCGCGGAGCGCACGGCGGGGGCTGCGCCCCCCCTGCCGCCCCCCCGGCGGCCGCGGAGGGCGGGCGGCGCGTCCCTAATTTATTTATCGCTGTTCCCCGGGAAGGGATGGAAAGTGGGTTATCGATTATATAAACACATCAATATTCATGGCGCTGCGCGGAGGGACGCGGCTCGGCCGGAACAGACAGCGCAAGGGGAGGGGGAGCGGGAGCGCGGCGGCGGCGATGAGCGCGCTCTCTCCGCGCCCGCGGACACGGGCGCGCAGCGGCACGTGCCGGTGCCGGTACTGCCGCCGTGGGCCCGGGGCGATGGCTCGAGGGGCGCGGGGCGGCGGACAGGTGGCTGCGCCCCCCGCCCAGAGGGGCGGCCCCTTACCTGCGCCCCGCCCGCCCCCTGCGGCGGCGCCCCGCGCCGGGGAGAGAGAGCCGCCGGCTCCACGCGTCCCGCGCACCCTCCGCTATCCTAAGGCGGGCGGCTCGGGGCGCCGCCGGGAGGCTCGGCCGGCACCGCGGGCTTCGCACTTGGTCCCGCAGCGGCGCAAGGGCCGCCCCGCAGCGCCGGGCACGGAAAGTTCCCATCGGGGCTCCGGGAGCTGCATCCCCGCAGGTAGATGCTACTGCGGCGGGCGGGCTGCGCGGCCCCCCGCGCCCGCGGAGCCCCCATCCGCCCATCCCCGGACAGGGACCGGGTCATTCTGGGGGAGCTCTGATCTTCTCGCCCTTTTCCCCGGGGCTCCATCACTGCCCGCCAGGGCAGCTAGCCCCGGCTCCGCGGGGCAGTGGGGGAGGGAGCACTACAAAGTGGCTCCGCGGGGAGCATGTTCCTCTGCGCTTTCCTCAGCAGTGGCACTTCCCAATTTTTGGCTCATTCCCCTCCCAAGGCCCCTCCGCAGGCCCTGATCCCAGGGGGAGAGGGGCAAGGGCGGGCACAGGCTCGGAGCCGCCCCGGCGGGGCGCCGTGAAACGGAAACAAATAAATAATTAAATAAGCAAATAAACAAACGAGCAAATAAATAAATAAATGAATGAGATCGTTAATAATGACGCCAGCGGTGACGTCAGCGCCGCGTGCATCACGACACAGCGCGCGCCGCGGGGGGCAGCAACAAGTGCGGACGGCGGCGCCGCGGGCGGGGCGCCCCCTAGCGGGTGCCGCTGCTGCGGTGCGGGCGGCGGGGCAGGACAGACGGACAGCAGTGCTGGACAGCGGGGCAGGACAGACGGACAGCGGTGCTGGACAACGGGGCACGGTCGGTGCACAAATCCCGCTGGGACCGAGGGGCCCTCCCCGCTGCAAGCCGTGATGTTCGGTGACGGGAACCCCTACGCGAGGCGCAAGGCTTGCTTGGCCCCGGGTAGCGGGAACGAAGAAGGCACAGGAATTAGGGCTAGGCTCGCCATGAATTCGGTGCCATGAAGGTGAGGGATTCATCTTGACAACCTCAGCACCCAAGCCTGGCTGGGATGCTTGGTGCTTCTCAAGGGGAAGGCTGATTTTCTGCTGGTTCCTCTGGAGGAATTACCAAATCCTTACAGTTTGTAAGAGGTTTCACGTTTCCTGCCCTTTATCCTTTTGAGATGCCCCGAGTGCCTGTCTGGTCTGTGGCCTCACAGCTCATACAGCGGTGAGAACACTGTGAGCACCAGGGGTAGGCTGGGATGCTCCTTGAGGACAGCAGGAAGCCAGTGGGTACCGCTGCTTGGGCTTCCACCCAGCACCAGCATGGCTTGGATGGGCAAACCCAGCAGAACAGCTTAGGAGAGCTGCAAATAGCAGCCCTTTTGGCCAATAAAGTCTTGTCACTTTGTGCTTGGGAGCTCAGTCCCCTGGAGGATGTTTGTCAGGGGCTGGACAGGTATGGGAGGTGATGCAAGTGAGACCCACACCTCGACACATCCCTGCAAAGCAAGGAGTGCTGCTCCGTTTCACCCCCAGTGAATTCCTGGCCAGAATTACACACATTTCTTCTGCAATTCACCTTTGTTTTCACTGACCTTGACATGTTTAATCAGGGTTATATTCTCACACAGATAAAACAGTCCTCAAACGATTGTTACAATATTTTGGGCACAAACAGATTTGTATTTGTTTCTTCATTTTCTTTATCTCAGGCAGGTAGGGCTACTCCTTTCCCACCATATATAATCAAGTAGCAAAGAGAACTTCCCATCTCCATTTGTGCCCAAATCCCTCTGCTTCTACCCCAGCAGCTGGGGCCCAGGCACTGTTGGCAGCCTCTGTGCCAGCCCTGAGCTCCTCCCCAGTGCACGAAGCATCACTCACAGCTCTGATAGTTGCCGCGTCCCATCCTTCCCACCAGCTACAGACTTCCTTCAAGCATTCCTCCAAGCCATGGTGTTATGTCCTCTATGAAGAAGGTGGTGAGGCTGAACAACCAGGTAAGAGCATGCTTTGGTCCTCTGAGCAGAGGGATGATTATCCATCCCTGCAGCATGCTGGGAGGCAGGGGTTATGCAGGATGGCCCAAGTCACTGCTCCATGTACTGAGCTCCTGCAGGACCCTACCTAACCTTCATCTGTAGAGGAGCTCATTGTCCATGGGGCAGAAGAAGGGGCCCAGCATGAACAAAAGGAGGGTTCACCCTCCATCCCCATGGCTCCAGCCCCCAGCCCTTGGTGTCACTTCATCTGGTGCTGCTGGCTGGTAGGACCCCCAGCATCCTGTTTAAGTTGCTAATGTTGGTAGCATTTGGAATGGGACAGCAACAGAGGCTGTGGCAGTGCAGAAGTGTACATATTCCCAGCAGTGAGGGCATGCATACTCATCATTGCTCTGACATCAGTTTTATAGGAGCCTTCCCCCTCCCCCCCAGAAAATTCTTTATACTTCAAAATAATAAATACAAAAAATACAGAGCCTGTTTATAGCAGAAATTGAAATTCCACATATTATCAAAAGTTGGATTTTGTCCTGCAGGCACTGAATAAGTTTCTTCATATGAATATTTTGTAACTTTCTCTTGCCAAAAGAAATGTGAAAAATGTTGTAATTTTTCTGTGCCTTCTTTTGGACATTCCAAGCTTTTGCTTAAGCTTCTCATAAAAGGCTATTTTCAGTGAAGAGGGGACCAAAAAAAAGCAGTCTACAGTATACTGAGTCAATAAAGTAATGTAAAACCATAAAACACAGCAACGATAACAACAGAGGATCAGTAGATTACAAAGGAAATAAGATGGGGATCAAACAGAGTGGTAGCTGGAAATGACTGCATAGAAGCCAAAATAAGGCTGCTCCTAATAAACAGCCAAAGTTGAACCAAAAAACATTTGAAGCGTTAATTTATTAAATAACCTTATTTTCATGCCTTACAATTAAAAATAGTTGTGGTCAGGCATGTTGGGAGACAGGAAGCAATTGGAGTCTTGAAGCCTGGCTTTGTGCTTGGAAGGGAACACAGGCTGATCCACGCTGGGATGGGGCTGTGCCTGCACGGGGGGGCAGGCAGCAGTGCTGGGGGGCTCCAGGCCACTTACTGATTCTCTGCTCACAGCCTTTCCCTTCCAGGCTTTTAAGACACAGAGGAGTTTTAAGAGGAGTGTTCAGGGTGGGAGATGGAGTCACAGTGGGAGCAGGGGCTGTGAGGATGATGCCAGCCCCTGCTCCCACTCAGCACAGGGGATGGGATGCAAAGCCCCGAGAAATTGCCATGAGGCCCTATGTTCAGTTCAGCAGGTTTTGGGATCAGTCTCTCACTTTGGGAGCCCTTTAGATCAGATGTACGAATCACCAGCTCAAAGCATTAATAATACCAGGAGTCATAGCATTTATCTTCCCTTCAAAAGATCCACCAGCCCCAATAAGTGACCAAACTGAGCAGAAAACCCTACATGAGATCAGCTTTCAAACCCCAGTCTTCAACTCATACGTGCATTTGGAATTATTTTTATTTACCTTGCATTTCCTTTTGTTGCCCTGGCATTGTGTTTTTAATTCCCCCATAGCACTGCTAGCAGCTCGCCTGGAACAAGCACCCCACTGCCCCAGGGATCCCAGGGCTGCTTAAAGAAAATAATCATCACCGAGTATCAAGATATTCACCAATAAAATAGTGACTGGTGGGACAGATCACCTGCACATACAGAAAGGAGAAGGGTGCCCAGATGGCTGCAGAGTATTCTGAGACCCGTAACAAGGGGTGCAGCCATGGACAGGAAGAACCAGCAGCTGACCAGCCCCAAAAATAGTTGTTTTACTCTCACAGTAACTGAGCTCCAGCGGCTGCTAACTGCTGCCTGCAAAGCTGGTTTCATCTAGTGGCACAGAGTGATGGGTCAGCTAAAACAGAGCCCACACCATTTCTGCCTGATTGGTTGCTAACCAAATACACTTTTCAGATGCTGTTAATTGAGTCTGATGAATTTTGCTCCTGTGGGACCTATTACAGGCAAAAATACAAGTGACATCAGAGCCATAACTCATAAAAATCAAGTCCCTGAATTACATCTGAGAGCAATATGAAAATGCAAG